TATCTAGAGGCTAAACTTATGAACTGAATCGATACTAGCTTTGATCTTTATATGCTTGAAAAGGGCCGTCGATAAAGCGTAAGAGTGCGAATACCATCGTTTAGTGCCGCCTTCGGACCTACATGCAAGGACCAATAATCCGCTGAAGGCGGCGCGGTGTTCGTTCTTGAACGGGTAGGGGAACGAATAACCCAATTAGGTACCCCTCCGCGGACCACTGGTCCTCACACGATGTACGATAGTAGAGCGGGAAGATCAAGTTCTACCCGCTGTTGGTATATGTACGTTTCCTGAGAAGGTTCATACACAATATCATACATGCATACAAAATGCGTCCTTTTGCCTGATTCTAACATTGATTTCTCGGATATGAAGGGCATGAAAAGTGGAATACGTTGCGGAAATGTTCCATTCCAATAACGTTTTTTTACAGAAAGGATTCCAGATTATCGAAGCGAACTTTAACATATGCATTCAGATTACCACTGTTCTCAACCTAGCGGTGCGGCAAATCAGCAAATTGGAGACGAACATAGTTTCGGTAGAGCGTATACGAGAGTACTCTAACACCGTATCAGAGGTCAGTAATGTATCCACAGTATTTCTTTTTCTAATCTTCTTGTTCTTTTCTTTTGAATGCCATATAGTGGAGCTGTGTGAAGAGATTTTTAGGCAGCCTGGGAATCTGAGATCGATCAGCGTCCTCCACCGGAATGGCCGAATGAGGGGAACATTCGGATTGAAAACTATTCCTCTAGGTAATATCTTCTGCCAACCTTCCTGATAGGGACATGTTACCAGAGGGATCTACTTGTCCAGTTATCTCATTCAAGGCTTACTCTTTTGTAATGGTTGCAGAAACGTTTTCCAAATGTTCGCAATGATTCATAAGAGAAGAGCTGGAATCCAAAGCTTTTTTGAGGTTGACTGCCAAATGATACTTTTTTGTAGATATCGACCTGGGCTAGATCTTGTTCTCAAATCGTTGAGTGCAACTATAGGGCCCCACGAAAAAGTTGGGATCGTTGGAAGGACGGGAGCAGGTATTTTCGTAAAATTGTACGGTAGAATGTGTCTTACCTAATTTCAAGGAAAATCGTCTGTCACGCTCGCTCTGTTCCGTATGGTAGAACCAGCCGCGGGTCGGATAGTTATAGATGGCATTGACATTGCTCGATTAGGACTTCACGATTTACGCAGCCATTTGACAATTATCCCTCAGGATCCAGTGCTGTTCTCTGGAACTCTGCGGTAACACTCACGAAAGTTTGAGAGATTTGTATGATGCAGAGAACTTTAATTTCAGCTTCAACTTGGATCCATTTCAAACACATAGTGATGACGAGATTTGGCATGCTTTGGAGT